GCTACCTGGGACACGTTACAAACACCCTTTCTTGCCTATCGATTTTTTTTAGAGGACTAGTATTTTGCACCACAAAAGGCTTAAAAATGACTGCCGTGACCAGGATTCGAACCTGGTTACCACGGCCACACGTGGGTGGTCCTAACCACTAGACGTCACGGCTACCTGGGACACATTACAAATACCCTTTCATGCTATCGATTTTTTCGGAGGACTAGTATTTTGCACCACAAAAGGCTTAAAAATGACTGCCGTAACCAGGATTCGAACCTGGGTTACCACGGCCACAACGTGGGGTCCTAACCACTAGACGATCGATCACGGCTACCTGGGACACTTTACAAATACCCTTTCATGCTATCGATTTTTTTTGGAGGACTAGTATTTTGCACCACAAAAGCTTAAAAATGACTGCCGTGACCAGGATTCGAACCTGGGTTACCACCGCATTACGACAAGTAGTTTATTTTAAAAATTCATCGAAGTTTGAGAGAATGAGTAGTCATTTTCACATTTGTTAAAATTAAAATTAGACGATTTACTTGGTATAACGATAGAATATTTGGTTTGATGAACATTCTGAACCATTAAAGTCCTACAAAAACTGGTTCAATTATAAAAATTATTGATTCGTGATAATTTGCTTTTAGAAAATATTCCAAGTTAACGTGTTCGTTCGTTTTCAATTACGTGTAATAAATTCACTCGTAATACTCTTAATCACTCATTAATTAATTTATTTTTTATTGATTAAGTCGGGAAGTTCATGTAACTTGCCTCAAGGCAAAATACGAATACCAACTAGTTTTAATGTCACTTTGCCACGCAGATGGAACTATCTATAAAGCCGCGAAATCAGCATGATTGAAGTCTTACAAGCAAATATAACTGATAACGAAACACTTTGGTATGAAGCTGTTGTTTTTGATGGATTTTATTTACTGCATTCAATGAAAAATATACCAAAAACATTTGGTAATATTTCGAAAAAATAATGTCTATTTTAACGGCAGCACATGCTGCACGAGTACATATAGTTTTCAAATAGTCATTTAAAAGTACCACAATTCTTAAACCTCAAAATACTGGCTGGATATTGATTGAAGAAATATTTGATTTCAATTGGTTTGTGAGATACCGTTCCTTCTTCAATTTTTGAAATAATATCACAACATCCTTCTCGCATTACTGAGGAGGATGCAAACGGAGCTGATCAACACATAGGCGGTAATGTTAAAATTTTTAAATTTGTAATATTTTATATCTTATTACATTATTAATACATTTAAATTTGTTTTGGTTTATAGACGATAAGTCAGCAATGCCGAATCTTATGACGATGAAGTATTAATTAGCGATATATCTAATAATGATGATTACTTCATGCTAATATATATTTTATTGTGACTAATTAAATTTATTTTGATCATAATTTATAATTTTTCATAATATAGTTTGAATATATGCTATAAGTTTTCATGCAACGCCTATTACTCGCCCTCCCGCCATAGCATTTTTGCCCTCGTCTGGCAAGGGCTTATGCTAGCTAGAATGGTCTGGCAATTGCACAGACCTTTTTAGAATTGCTTAGATAAACACATATGTAAATTTCAGCTTTAAAGGATAAAATTTATTTGGGGTATATTTTGCTCACTTTCCGGCTCGTCTGGCAGGTACTTGTCGAAATGGTCTGGCAGAATGATTTTCGAACTTCTCAATGAGTAATTGCATCGTATAAAAATTTGAACCTTACAGGAACAAGTTTAATTTTCGGGTGTTTTTTACGCTTTCAAACGCCTGGACGACCATGATGTGCAGGGCTAAAACCTGCCTGTCGTTTCCGTACTTAGCACATTAAGAATCACCTGTACAAAAATTTTCAGCTTTACAGGAACACCGTTATTCAAAAGATTCACTGGCTCTTGGTCCATAACAAAGAGCCTTTCACGCTATTAGTTTGTTTGAAGGACTAAAATTTTGAATCATAGAAAACTTAAAAATGGCTTTGCCCAGACAATGTTATTACATTGCCGTAATCAGGATTCAAACGTACAAGCACGAGCAAGTACTTGAACGGCATTGAAAAATATTAAATTTTATAATTCTTATAAAAGCGTATAAAATTATAAACGTCCGCATGAGTATAGAATTGTAATACGTCCGCATGAGAAATATACGTCCTTGATATATGAAAATCCAAGAAATGTTCAACATATAAATCCATTAATTACGAGTTCCAATATTTCATTTGATAATTCATTAATCTTTACATACATGATTTAATTCATGCAACACACCATAATACACAAAAAAATTCTAAAAAAGCTCACCTAGCATCCGTATAATAGGTTTCCGGTGCTGTGCCTGCCTTGCCTCTCCGTGCACAGAACCTCGCACTCCCTTGCCGAGGGTGTGTTTTTTCGCTCGCCTGATACGTAGCCCCATTCGCGCGTACAGAACCATCATGACCAGCATTGGCGCCAGGAAAAACAGCAGCCCGGAGGCTTCGTACAGATGCAGACCTTCCGGTAGGTACAACAATGCGCAGAAGGCTGACTCCGTTGCTATGTCTGTTGTATCTGGGAAATATAATAGCTCACGTCAGCCTTAAGGGGTTGTTCTTTTTTTGTTACAAAAAATGCAAGGTATTTGTTTTTGTTTTTCTCGAAATGTATTGATCATAGAGACTTGCGGTTTTTTTAAACAAAAATTACAAAATACTAGAATATTAAGAAATTTTTTATTTTTTTTGTCGCTGTCATTTGTTAACAGGTTAACCTTCATGAAAATTTGATCAGTTCTTCAACTTGTTAATACAAGTAAAATGTTTTTTGAATTATTCAAATCGGACGCTTCGTTCTCCAAAGGGGGCTCCAAAGTGGGCATTGCAAAATCGATCTCTTTTGCGGTGCCACAGATAAATCCGTTGTGCATCGCTTGAAACAAAAAAAAAACAAAACTACGTTGAAAAAGAAGTTTGAATCCAGTCCCCCTACCAAAATAAAAGAAAAAAAGCAAGAAGGAAAAAAATGGCAGCTATTTAAAAAAAAGTGTTAAAAAGGGCCTCTTTTTGGGACGAGAAGCTTCGCAATTTTTTTTTTGCGTAATGTTATCAAGTTGTTTGCGGTAGGGGGACTAGGTATTGCAATGGTGAACATATTAAAAAAAATGCAAGTCGATCCGACTTGTAGTTTTTTTTTAATTTGTGGCACCGCATTGAAAAAAGTCAATTTGAGAAAAACATATTTAAAGTTTTTAATATAATGTACTAAATACACCATTTAATTTAATGTACTAATACACCATGGTGTTCAAAAGTGCTGACACATTAAAAAGGTCATGTGCATTACGTATTATAATGAAAAAGAGAGCAGCTGGCATACAATAGCTCGCGGAGCGATGAAAAAAACGGTTTCAGTAGATCATACATATAGAGATATATATATCTATAACTTCGTCAAAAAAATAGATATTGAAATGATTTTTTTCAAAAAATCTCAAAATCGAGAAAAAATAAATAAAAAACGAACAACCCCCTTAAACTTAAGAAAGTTTTTGGGTAAACTTTTATTTATGTGTAGAGAAAATTTGGCAATACTATATTATATTTAATTGTGAACTCATTATTTAAAACTTCAAAACCAAATTTTTACACAGCAAAAGCTTAATATATGCAGATATCACCTACATATATTTCTGTTTCATAAATATGGCACGAATGCAAAAACACTAAGCACGAAATAGAAATTTAATGAGATTATAGAGAACGGACAAAATAGTATATATTGTTAGCGAAATATATTTGTATATATAATATATTAATTAAAAGTGAGCCACGAGTTTTGTATGTATCGAGATACCTTGTATTTTGTAGAAAATATAAGAGTGTATCGTATTTTGTATTTATTTACGTAGACACTTGGTAATGATTTTAAATTGTGAAAATATATAAAATTAATACAGTATGATTGAAGTTTTGAAATATTTTAATCAATTTTCTTCAAGCTTAGGCGGTTTGAAAAACATTGTATTTTCTACCGCTTAGCTGTTTTTAAAATATGTTTCTATTCAGGCTTATGCTAACAAAAAAAAAGAAACTAGTTGTAAGTGGAATTCTGTCTTGAGGCAAATAAAGCATCGTGCCTTAAGGCAAATTGCTGGAACTTCCCGTACCGCAATTCAAAATTCGAGTAATTAAAAATAATCAATAATAATCAATAAAAGTTGATCAATGATTTGATACTTTTAATAGAATTTCGAACCATATTAAATCATTCTATCTTAAATCATTTATTTTGAAATATTTTGGAAATTCTAAACTTTTTTTCAAAGCAATCGTACTGCTTTAACTGGATAAAGACAAAATATCGAAGCGCCGCGTCGCCGTCTAAAGCGTAAACATTGGTACGGAACTCATAGGAATGTAAACAAAATTTATACTTATTGTTAAAATCTCTATAAAATATCTGATAATTTGATGTGCACATGTCTAATGATCATTTTTGACCGTCAAATGGCATTTTTTTTTACTTTTTTTTACTAGATCTCCGCAACCGCTAGATCTGCCCTCATGAAAATTTGATCAGTTCTTCAACTTGTTAATACAAGTAAAATGTTTTTTGAATTATTCAAATCGGACGCTTCGTTCTCTTAAAAACTAGGTTACCGTTTTTGGCACTTTTTACCCCGTATCTTTGGAACGGCTGGACCTGCCTTTGCCAAAAACTAATCAGCACGTCTCCTTATCAATACAAATCGAATGCTTTTTGAATTATTCAAATCGCTTCATCCGTGTTCCCGAAATCGTCGACAAAAATTTGTATCCGAACACACGCACACACACACACACACACTAACATTCAAGCTTTGCCAAAATGTTCAGAAGGTTTTGAAACGTAAAGATATATAAAAATCTTCATTTTCGATTTTTTTGCGATTACTATAACTTGCCCTACGGAAAGTTAATAAAAATACAAGATAGATAAATTAAATGAATAAATTAAATAAATAATTAAAATAATAATGATAAAAACAATAATGTATAATAACTGAGTAACTTGTGAAAAACATTCTTCTGTGCATGAGAGAAAAATTTATGTTGTGAGCTGATGTAGATCACTGGGCGCGTCTTTTTAACGGTCAAAATCTAAAAATCTTGATACGGAATCCATAGAAATGTATACGAAATTGGTACTTAGTATTAAGATATATCGATCAATAGCTTTTTGAATCATTCAAATCGGTTGATCCCATTGTGAACAGATAATTGATATCCAAAATGTTGGAATACAAATTCCAGAATGTCTTGAAACGTAAAGATATGCAAAACAAAAAAAATTCGATTTCTTTGCGATTACTAAAACTTAACCCACGGGTAGGTGAAAAGTGCATTCAAAGCGTGCTACTCTATCACTACCAATTACAACTTTTATAACGAATGTGAAAATCGAAACAATAAAATACGCAAAGCGGTTTTTATTATAGAATGGAATAGTCGCTTTTGAAAATATATACTATTCAGTGATTAACAATACTTGCTTTCATTCTGTTTGTTTAAAATTTCAAAGAAACTGATCGCTGCGAAGGCGGCTTATGTTCACAGCGATTTCATTTAAAACAATGTATACATTTACGGCAAAATCGTGTTTGAGTCTATTTCACGTAATACAAAAATATAAAATGAAATCTGTTTATAATTAACTTTGCGTGGGGTAAGTTATATTAATCGCAAAAAATCGAAAATATATTTTTTTATATATTTTTAGTTTTCAAAGGTTTCTGAACATTTTGGCATAGATTAGAAAAAAATGGATGTATGTGTATGTGCGGTAACAATTTTTAGTCTACGATTTCGAGAACACGGATAAACCGATTTGGATGACTCAAAAAGCATTCGAGGTCCAGCCGTGTCTAAGGGTCAAAATGTGCCCAAAATGGTATTTCAGTGTTTAAGAGGATGGAGCGTCCTGTTTGAATGATTTAAATAACATTTAACTTGTATTGATGAAATGAACAACTAGTGAAAATTTTGTGAAGGCAGATCCAGCAGTTCTGGAGATCCAATAAAAAAGTGAAAAAAAAAATAATGCCATTTGGCGGTCAAAAATGATTACGGATTACGATATTTCGGCTCTAAAACAGCTATGCAGCGCGATTGCTTTAACATATTTTTAAAAAAAAATAAAATATAAAAAAACGAATACGCGCTTCGATATTTCGACTCTGAAACAGCTATGCAGCGCGATTGCTTTAACATATTTTTTAAAAAAAATAAAATATAAAAAAACGAATTTTTTAAAAAAGTCAAATTTCTTTCAAAAATTTCAAAGTTCTCAAAGTTCTAACTTTTTCAAAGTTTTTAAAAAAATTTAAAGTTTTTTTTTAAATTTTGGTTTTCGGTACGGAAAGTTCCGGGAATTTGCCTTGGTACGACGGCATGCACCATTAGTTAGATCCGCAAATCATACATTTTTTAGCTATGAATATTTAACGAATAGAGGAAGCGCGCATCAACAACAAAAAAACTTATTCTACTTGCAATTAGAACTCCTATTCTGCTATTTGTTCGTATGAAGAAATCTCTAAGTATCTACGCCGTCGACAGCTCTAATCTCTATGTGCGTTCGTACGAAGGAATCGCTAAGTATGTACACTAGCTGTAATCTCTATGTGGGTTTGTATGAAGAAAGCTCTGTGCATGCACTCGAACTTTAATCTCTACCAACGTATTCTGATTAAATCGGTATATGCCAGTTGTTTGACTATTTCATGTTTTGTACAACTATTTTTATATTTTATAATCCTTTTACTACAAGCTTCGCCCACAGGTGAATACCGGTGTCGCCTACATACGAAATATAGTGCGTCGAGAATTTATACAAAAATTACCACCCTAAGTGAAATTTATCAAAATTATAATTTTATATTGTAATTTTTAATTCTTCAATACATTTTGTATTGATAAGAATTGCAAAATCTTAAACGCGTTGTTGTGCTTGGTACGTTCAGTAGCGCTACTCATCGGCTCGCTGTTCAGCACAGCAGTGTCACACCTGCCAAAAACAATGTCGAAGCCAACGGCCTAAATATTCATAGACGTTTAAATTATGTTTTGATAATTATTTGTTCACTACTGAAATTATTAACTTCCAGTACAGTAAGTTATAAACATCGCAAAAAAACGAAAATCTTTACATTTCAAAGGTTTCTGAACATTGGAAAAAACGGTTGCATGTGTGTGTGTATGTTTGACTACAATTTTTCATGCACGATTTCGGGTGCACGGATCAACCGGTTTGAATTATTAAAATAACTTCAGATTCCTATTGATAGATAGACGTGTTGGTTAATTTTTGGTCGAAAATAGGTCCAGCCATTTCGAAAATAAAAGGCAAAAATGGTCAAAAACGGTAATTCAATTTTTAAAAAAACGTTTTTCAGATTTTTTTATTTAAAATATGAATTTTAAATTTGTAATTCATTTTAAAAATGTATATATTTCTAATCGCAAGAAATAGATGGTTTCATTCGGCATTTCTTGTTAATGTAAACATTCTTATGTATTTTATGCGTTAAAAAACGTATGTTTTTACCATTTTTGTTCGGGCGGAAGAAAAAGTAATAAAATCATGATATTGAAGATAGTTATTTGTTGTACTTAAAGTAACAAAATAAAATATAATTGTAAGAAAAAAAAGTAAAAAAGGTGGTACTAAAGCCATTTCGGCGAGCCGCGTCAAATCCGCGGCACGCAAAATAACTACAACAATTCAAATTTTTAATAGTATATTTGAAATAACATTTTAAAGTTCTTATTATAGCGGATTTAAAAAATATCGATTTTTGTTTGTTTGGCGAGCACTTTATTCAAAATAGTTGAATTTCAACAAAAGTTCCGATATGATGGGTACTAAAAAATGTAATTTTAAATTACATTTAAACAAAAATTCGAATAAAAAAAGTTTAAATTGTTGTAGTTATTTTGCGTGCCGCGTTGTAAAATCATGTTTGGAGAAAAACTCGTTTGAAGATTTGAAATTAATTATAGATAAGAAAAAATAAAAAAATGTCAGTTTAATATTTTTACTATTAATCTGATATCCCAGCAATATATAGATGCCTTTTTATTTTTATAATTTTTTTCTTATTTTCTTCCCTTGATGAATTTATATCAGAGCGTCCTACTTTTGGCGCAAAGACCGTTCGGTATGCTTAAGACGTTTATAATCGACTTCAAGACAAAAATTACATGTTTAGATGCCAATATTAATATCCAAAACTATTTTCATTTATAAAATATTGCTTAGGCCATCGTTTAAATTATTCCCAGCAACATCAGCCGCAATGTAGTCAACCTTTATATATGTGTTGACTCTGCATTGATCATCTATTGGTTAAAAATGCTTTTACAGTTTATTTATGCAATATAAATATTTAATAATAACATATTTTAGTATGTTCAAGATGATACATATGGCCATTTTGCTTTATAATGTTTTTAACTTCCCGTAGAGCAAGTTATAGTAATCGCAAAAAAATCGAAAATGAAAATTTTTATATATCTTTACGTTTCAAAACCTTCTGAACATTTTGGCATACCTTAGAAAAAATGGATGTATGTGTGTGTATGTGTGTGTGTATGTGCGTATATGTGTGTGTGTGCGGATACAAATTTTCGTCGACGATTTCGGAAAAATGAATGAAGCGATTTGAATAATTCAAAAAACATTCGATTCGTATTGATAAGGAGACGTGCTGATTAGTTTTTGGCAAAGGCAGGTCTATCCATTCCAAAGATATGGGGCAAAAAGTGCCAGAAACGGTAACTCAGTTTTTAAGAGAACGGAGCGTCTGATTTGACTAATTCAACTAGTGGAGCGCATGGCATCGTGCCTTAAGGCAAATTGCTGGAACTTCCCGTACCAAAAATTATTATTTTTTTGAAAACGATTAACATTTTTGAAAAGAATTCACTTAAAAAATGAGATTTTTGAGAAACTATCAGTTTGACAAAAATTTACTTTTTTTTGAAAATTTTTTTTTTGTTGAAATCGTATTGCTTTAACTGCATAGAGACAAAAATGTCAAAGCGTTACGCGAAGCGGCGCCGCGTCGCCGTCTAACGGATAAACTTTGGTACGGAACCCATAAGAATGTAAACAAAATTTATATTTATTTTTAAAATCTTTTTAAAATTTGATCAGTTTTTTATCTTGTCAATACAAGTAAAATGTTTTTTGAATTATTTATATCGGACGCTCCGTTCTCTTAAACACTGAATTACCATTTTTGGCACTTTTTGCCCCGTATCTTTAGAACGGCCAGACCTGCCTTCGCAAAAAACTAATCAGCACGTCTCCTTATCAATGTTTCGAATGTTTTTTGAATTATTCAAATCGGTTCATCGGTGTTCCCGAAATCGTCGACAAAAATTTGTATCCGCACACACACACATACACGCACACACATACATCCATTTTTTCTAAAATATGCCAGAATGTTCAGAAACCTTTGAAACGTAAAGATATATAAAAATTTTCATTTTCGATTTTTTTGCGATTACTATAATTTGCCCCACGGGAAGTTAAAAAACATTTTACTTGTATTAATAAGATGAAGAACTGATCAAATTTTCACGAAGGCAGGTCTAGCGGTTTTGGAGATCTAGTAAAAAAAGTAAAAAAAAAGCCATTTGGCGGTCAAAAATAATCATTCGACATGTACACATCAAATTATCAGATATTTTATAGAGATTTTAACAATAAGTATAAATTTTGTTTACATTCCTATGAGTTCCGTACCAATGTTTATCCGTTAGGCGGCGACGCGGCGCTTACGCGCTTCGATATATCGTCTCTATGCAGCTAAAGCAGTACGATTGCTTTGAAAAAAAAGTTCAGAGTTTCCAAAATATTTCAAAATAAATTTTTCTTCAAAAAGTCTTTTTTTCAAAAAAAAGTAAATTTTTGTCAAAAATTTATAGTTTCTCAAAAATCTAATTTTTTCAAAAATGTTAATCTTTTAAAAAAAAAAAAAATTTTGATACGAGAAGTTCCAGCAATTTGCCTTAAGGCACGATGCCATGCGCCCCACTAGTTTGTTAATATATTTGAGCGGTGTCGGTTCGGAGCAGTCCGACGCGCATTGGAAAAAGCTCATAATTACAACAAGAAAGTTTTAGGTATAAAATATTTTTCCTCATGTTCTAAAAGATTCAAAGTATATTTTAAGCCTAAAAAAAATATTTTGGTTTTTCGAAAAATCTACAGTGCGGTTGTACCTTTGAGGATCGATGGCATGCCCCACTAGTTTGATAATACATTGAACATCTATGAAATCAAAAGTTCTCGTCGCCAGCAATTTTAAATGTGATGACAAATATGTATCTGAATTTTTTGTGTGTAATTAATAGTTATTACAAATTAATTTCAGCATGATGCCATTGTAAGAAAAAACTACAAATTCTCTAACAATACATATAAATGTATGTAATGTACATAAATGTATGCCCGTTTCGAGCGCAAAAGCTCGCGAGATCAGAAGGTCGCAAATGATAAATATACTAAAAAATGTTGATAAATATTTACGGGTGTCATTTCAATATTTATGCACTATTTAACCATCATATAGAAACAAAGTTTCAACTTTTACTTACTTGGTGGATAGTAAAGGTAGTTGATAGTAGTAAATATGGCAAAAGGACTGGCGCTGATCAAAGATGTGATCCATAAAACAGCTATGATCCTGGTAGCTCTCTTCAAACCAGACATGGTATATGAGTGCAGAGGATGACATATTGCCAAATACCTCTCCATGGAAAATGCCACTATCGTCAGAACACTAACATACGAGGACCTTGAAAATAGTAATAAGTTTTATTACACAATGTTCATTAACATATTATTTTTATAAATAAAAACATAATTGAAACTGAGTAACAAGTGGTGCATGGCATTGTGCCTTAAGGCAAATTGCAAGAACTTTTCGTATCAAAAACTAAATTTAAAAAAAAAATAGCTTTTTGAGAATTTTGAAATTTTTGAGAGAAATAGACTTTTTTGAGTAATTGGATTTTTTTTAATTTTGATTTTTTTTGAAATTTTTTTCTAAACCCAAAATATCGAAGCGCCTAAGCGCCGCGTCGTAATCAAACGTGTAAACATTGGTACAGAACCAATATAAATGTACACAAAATTTGTACTTATTATTATAATCTCTACAAAATATCTGATAATATAATGTGCATATGTCTAATGATCATTTTTGACCCAAAAATGCATTATTCTTTACTTTTTGATTCAATCTCCGGAAACGCTGGACCTGCCTTTCCAAAAATTTCAACATTTATTCATATCAATACAAGTAAAATGTTTTTAGAATCATTGAAATCGGAAGCTCCGTTTTCCCAAAAACTGAAATACATTTTGGGCACTTTTTGCCTCGTATCTCGAAGCGGCTAGACTTGCCTTTTCCAAAAACTAATCAGCACATATAAGGACTGCTGCATAATATTGTCATAGCTATTATTCTGCCAGCCAACGCAATAAACAAAACTGTGCAGGTCCGTTATTTGCGACACGTTACAAAAAATTGTACTATCATGAACTTTTGGTTTGCGTTATTATCATATACTAATTTTAAATTTAATACGTCTTATTTTGTTTCGCAAACAAAAATGATCATTAGACATATGCACATCAAATTATCACATATTTTATAGATATTTTAATAACAAGAACAAATTTAGTTTACTTTTCTATGTTTGCCCGTTATACTGCGACGCGGCGCCCACGCGCTTCTATATTTTGTTTCCACGCAGCTAATATATCGCGATTGATTTGAAAAAAAGTTCAAAATTTCCAAAATATTTTAAATTATAAAAAAGCTAATATTTTAAAAAGGTCAATATTTTTCCAAAAATTTTAAAAATCTCAAAAATCGATTCAATTCAGAGTTCTAAAAGAAATTATTATTTTTTTTTTAATTTTAATTTTTGGTACGGGAAGTTTGAGCAATTTGCCTTAAGCAAATAAGTAATAAGTAATGCAATTTGATTTATACAAATTACTTAAAATCTATGAATAAATTTGCCAGTTTTAGAAGAATAAACTGACCAATTGAAGAATTGAACAATCTCTTCTCTAGTCATTTCCCAAATAGGTAAACCCATTTATTATATATTTACTATTGACTTCATACACCATCCACAAATTTATTCAAATATTGTCTGGTTCATTTGGTATATTTTATATAAATCTGCACATACATGTTGACTGAAACAACTTCCCAAATAACAATATTTTCCGTCGATCAAATTGACCCATCGCGGTAGTTAGGCCACATAATTTTTTTTTTCGGAAAATAGAAAAAATAGCTAAAATCAAAGAGTGAAAAAATATTACGATTCTATAAATATAGTCTAAGTTTTTTTTTAATTACAATCTGTCACATTTACAATCTTGTAATTGTTTTGATTTAATTATATGGATTTTTTAAATGGATGGCAACCCAATTGTAGTAGTTGTCTAATAGTAGTAGTTGTCCAATCCAATTATGACTAATGAACTTTACTCGAAGTATTTGCTGACATTTAAAATGTCTGTATCGGTCATTTTGACCGGCGTTGGTAGGTTAAGTGTTAATATCATTATGATCCTATTGAAAATGCCTATTACTAGTTACTCATGTTACAGATAGCCCCTAGTTCCCCTATATATTAAAATATTCAAGACGTAGGAATTCTTATACTTAATTCCTTTAGTCGTATATAAATTGCTATTTTCAGAATATAAATACATTCAAGTCCTTCAAAGATTTGAATTTTTCTTTATCATAACCCTATAATTATAATTTAATGGAAGATTAAAGATAAATCATCAATCTGAGCATGGTTAATTATAAATGAGTGGAGATGAGTAGCAATTAAAATATCGTTTAACATCGTTCAATTTGGTAAAAGCAAATAACTTTGAATAAATTGGATAACCTTAATGAAAAACTCAACCCTTGAAAAATTATACGCGATAAAATACAAAAACAATGCAAGTATTATTCATTCATTTCAATGCAAGTATTTAAATAAAAGTTTCTTTGCGGCTGTAAATAGTAACGAATCGCTGCATTTTATAATTTCATTAACAGTTGCTATTTGTGGCTTTTCTTGGAAACAAAAATTAAATGCCATTCGGACAATTTGACATAATCATTTAAATAGTAGTTATTAATAAAGCTAGTTAATCTATTTGTAACATTCTAAAAAAGTTTTTTTCGTTCAAAAATCTGATTAATTCATATTACGTCTCCTCCACATTTTATGTAACTCGAGTAATTAGCAATAAAAGCGAGAACTAGTGGGGCGAATCATGGCATCGTGCCTTAAGGCAAATTGCTGAAACTTACCGTACCAAAAATCATTTTTTTGAACATTTTTGAAAAAAAATTACTTCGAAAAAATTAGATTTTTGAGAAACTATAAATTTGACAAAAAATTACTTCTTTAACTTTCGGTAGGGCAAGTTATAATAATCGCAAAAAATCGAAAATGAAAATTTTTATATATCTTTACGTTTCAAAACCTTCTGAACATTTTGGCATACCTTGGAAAAAATTGATGTATGTGTGTGTGTGTGTGTGCGGATACTAATTTTCGTCGACGATTTCGGGAACACCGACCAACCGATTTAAATATTTCAAAAATCATTCGATTCGCATTGATAAGGAACGTGCTGATTAGTTTTTGGCGAAGGCAGGTCTAGCCGTTCCGAAGATATGGGGCAAAAAGTGCCAAAAACAGTAACTCAGTTTTTAAGAGAACAATTTGTCCGATTTAAACAATTCAGAAAATATTTTACTTGTATTGACGAAATGAACATCTGGTCAAATTTTCATGAAGACATATCTAGCGGTTTCGGAGATCTAGTATAAAAAGTGAAAAAAAAATACCATTTGGCGGTCAAAAATGATCATTAGACATATGCACATCAAATTATTAGATATTTTATAGAGATTTTAATAATAAGTATAAATTTTGTTTACATTTTTATGGGTTCCGTACCAATGTTTATCCGTTAGACGGCAACGCGGCGCTTACGCGCTTTGACATTTCGTCTCTATGCAACTAAAGCAGTACGATTGCTATGAAAAAAAGTTCAGAATTTCCAAAATATTTCAATTAATATTTAAATATTTAATTTTTTATGAAAATTGAAAATTATGAAAAATGAAAATTGTTCAGCAATTTTCAATTAATTGGCTAAGAACTGAGTTTGTTTTACTTTATATATTTTGGGTAAGCTGTTTTGTTTTTAATTAACAGGATATAAAATAAACATAATTTTTAACCTCATCAAAAGTTTTAAATTCATATGAAACTGATCAGAGATGGGTGCTGATTATATTAATTGCTGCAGAAACCTGCAGGGTTGTTTAAAATTTGAATGTTCATAGTTAAATGCTAAAACATTTTCTATCGATTACAAGTGTTACGAGAAAATCATCTAGTAGTCGAATTCATTAAATTTCGCGTAGAGATCATTTGCACACTTCTGTATAGTTAAATCGTGAATATCATTAACGATTCGATAAATTTAAAAATTGAAAACGTAATATATATACATAAATACATACACACACACACACACACACACACATATATATATATATATATATATATATATATATATATATATATATATATATGAAAGCATACCCCTCCTTAACTGATTATTTGGATTTTGATAAATCTTTTTCAGGTTTGTTAGGAAATTTTTTAGGATTGAAATGATTATAAAAATATGGTAACATTGTAAAAATAAATGAAAAAAATTGCAAAAAACGATATGTCATTGTTTGACATTGAAATTGGTTAGACAAATAAGAACTGTCATATTCCAGAAATTTTCAACGTTATTTTGAAAAAATAAAATTAGTTTATTTCCAAAATATCATACAAATTAGAGGACAGTAAAAAAATTCGCACGTGACACCCCTTTTCCTCTACATTTACTGCACTCATTTCGGTGATCGTAGATTGAATAGTGCACATATGAACAGGATATGAAAAATTAATTCACTTATAATTTGAACTTGAGTAATTTATTAGAGAGAAAAATGAAATTTAGATATTATAATTACTAAAAAAACTAGTTAAAATATGGTACAAGATTATAAAAATTATAGGCAACATTGTTGAAGCAATTATTTTTGGTGGAAAAATCCAAAGTGATCTTTTACCGCGGATACTATATATTATTTCTTTCTGAATTTATTATACTGTTTAATAGACTGCAATTTCCAATACGTATATTCTATGCTATGGCCATAAATAAATCACAGAGGAAGACGATTTTTGTAGGATAAATTTAAAAAATCAATGTTTTAGTCATGGATAAACAAAAAATAGTTATTTATGCATCTACAGGTATGACTAAAAATGTTATATAACCATTGGCATTAAAATAAATTGAGATATTGGAAACAAATTCGTTCTAAAAATTGTAGTGTATAATTTTAAATATAAAATTATATAGAACATACTTTGGTATTTGTTAAGGGATAATTAAAGATGTAACTGTGAGAATTGAGAATCATCATTTTATTTGAAGCAGTTTTACATTTAACATCACTCATATTTTGGTGTTAATAATAATTAAAAAAAACAATGATTTATTACTCTTAACTAAACAATAAATATTAGTATAGAATATTTAAAAAAAATCGAACTTTTGAATTGTAGACGTGGATACAGAACAACGTCTGGCGGGTCATCTAGTATACAGTGAGGATTAAGCTCTCTGCCGCCCTAGGCCCTATCCGTTCAGGCGGCCTTTAATAGACAATATTTTATTTTTTTAATTAAACTTTCTTTTTATAATTATTTAGATATAATTTTTAACTTTGCTTAGAGTAAGTTATATTAATTGCAAATGAATCGAAAATGATATTTTTTTCTTATCTTCACGTTCTAAGGCCTTCTGAACATTTTGGTATACCTCAAAATCTGTATGTGTGTATGTATGTTCGACTCCCATTGATTCTGATTGGTTTTTCGCTAAGGTTGGTCCAGCCGTTTTGAAGATACGAAGCAAGAAGTGCAAATAGAAATCAGAACCTTACGCCCTGAATCTTTTTCTTTTATGTCGTATTTTTGTAGATGTCAACCCAACTGTTGATCCTTTCATATTTTATTACCTCATTATTAGAAATTATCTACTAGGACGTAGTTATTAACTTCCCGAAGGAGCACTTTGTTTGAAAATTCAGATTTTTTTTTGCAAAGCAATGTTAACATTTGTACTTATTATTAGTATTTTTATAAAGTATCTGATAATTTGATGTGCGTATGTCTAATGATCATTTTTTACCACCAAGTGTTATTTTTATAACTTTTGGATCTTCATAACCGCTGAACATGCCTTCTCAAAAATTGGTTAATTCTTCATTTCGTCAATATGATTAAAATGTTTTTTAAATCATTCAAATCGGACGCTCCGTTCTCTCAAAAACCGAATTTCCATTTTTTGGCACTTTTTGTCCTGTATCTTCGAAATGACTAAACCTGCCTTTGCCAAAAAGTAATCAGCAAATCTTCGCGACAATTGAATCATTTAATCGGTTGATTCGTCTCAAAAGCGTCGACAAAAAAATGTAATCGCGAATACACATGCAAGCATCAATTTTTCCTAAGATACGCAAAAATGTTAAGAAGGTTTTGAAACGTAAATATTTAAAAACAATTGCATTTATGTTTTATTTTTCGAATTACTATAACTTAGCCGTGCAAGTAATTCCAATTGGTGGTCAAAAATGATCAATGAACCTAATCACACCAATTTGTCAGATATTTTAGTTTAGGTTCAGTTTTATCTTATAGAAATCATTTTAAATAAAAATTATTATATACGAACCAAGAAATAATTGAATTAACACAAAATAACAATTAGTATATTATATATATGAATTCCTGAAATAAAATAAGAAACCCATTTAAAGTGTTTTGTATGTAAGATTCACTTTAACAAAATTACAAAAAATGAAAAGAGACTCAATATTTCTCAGAAAAAAGCTTATCAATTTGATAATTTTTATTTTAAACATGATGCACCAATAAAAATATTAATGAGGCGCCCTAGAATAAGTTTGATTAGAAAA